GGCCATGAGGGCCAGGCCCCGCGATGCCCCCGTACAGCCGCCCGCTTCCAACGCCCTCTGTTTCCCGTCCTCGCGCTTGGCCTTGTCCTCCTCCCCGAGCCCGCAGTTGCCTCTCCAGCACCATTATTGAGCCTCCATGAAACTGGGGCGCCCAGTGCTCAGGCCATCCCTTCCCCAGCCAAGGCTACACCATCCATGCTGACACACACAAAGGTGTAAAATAGCTTTTTTATTTCTCCACTTTGACCAACTCTGACATGAAGAGAGAGACTGTGGCTGCTGTTAGTCAAAGAGACCAAATCCCATGTCCTCGTCTGACTCCTCCGACTCCTCCTTTGCCGCTTCCTTAGCCGGAGCAGCAGCAGCAGCAGCAGGAGCAGCTGTTTCAGCTGCCACCGGGACAGCAGCAATGAAGGCGGAGGGGTCTGCTAGGAAGGCCTTCACCTGCAAAAGAAAAAAAACAAAAAAATTAGACGTGAACTCAGAGGAAACCTTCAGAGGGACTGAACCTCTGCAACCAAAATGTAACAAGCCAGAGGGAAAAGGAAAATCCTTCTGGAAGCTCAGGCATTCAAGGTGTTTTTAGTTGCCCTTTGACCAGATCAGAGTCAGCCGTTACCTTCTCGGCCAGCGGGAACGTGTAGTCGGTCTCCACAGCCACGGCCAGGACCCGCTTGTACCCGTTGATGATGGAGTGGGGCACAGAAGCGATGGTGGGGTACCCAATCTGCAGGCACACGCTGGCCACGTTGCGGACACCCTGTGAGAAGGAAAAGCCTCGTGTTTCCGTGCTCTGACAAACAACCCAGAGCACAGGCAGCCAGATGAGAGCACAACCCTACACTGCAAATGTAATGACAGTCAGCAGGTACCACGCACAGGCAACACGGCCTCAGTACATTTACACAGAGCATCAGGGTTTGTGCAGCTCTGAGAACTTGATGAAGCAGTTTCCAGATTCCATGTACACTTTACTGTTTCTCTCAGACTTTACGGACATCAGCACCTGATTCTGCAGCACTTGAGCAGAAATACAGGCAGTGACACTGCATTCTAGGGAAGTGCCAAGTTGCCTTGACTGGCAGTTGCCATTTTCTCCGTGGCAGGCGTGTAGAAGGAGTGGAATGCAACAGAAATGGGTCGTGGCACTTGCCTCCAGGAAACGCTTGTGCAGGGTCTCCTCGGTGATGTCCAGCACCTCAGGATTGTAAATGCTGCCGTTGTCGAAGACCTGCTGGATCACCAACCCAAAGGAGAATGGGGAGATGTTCAGCATGTTCAGCATTTGGCGCCCACTTTGTCTCCGGTCTTGATTAGCTGCACATCACTCTGAGGAATAAAAGGAAAATGAGAAATTCTAAAAAATTCAGGCACACATGCACAACAAGGCTCCAGTGCACATTCCCAATGGCGACAAAAGACAGAAGGAACAAATGAGCTGAAGCAACAAAAGTGGCTATTTGAGCAAGCCCTACACAATGTAGCAAGTGCATCTCAGCTCTAAGAGCAGTACCCTTAATGCATTACCTAGAGGCTACTTTGTCCATAAGTTCCTTCAGCAGCCCTCAACCATGCAGCAAATAACTGAAACAGGAGTTTAAACCCTCCCCACCCCTCACTGCACACCTGACTCAAGCCAGACATCCATCTTCAGGAGTTCTTGAGCGAAGCAGTCATGTTGCTAACACAGTACTACTGGGAGCTTTGATCTTTACACCTCCTATTCCTCCATAGCAGTGTGCAAGATCAGGCAGCTCCTCAGAGTGCCATCAGCGCCCTCAGTCCAGGATGGGCTTCAGACAAACAGCCACACGATGCTGACTAACCAGAATTTCACTGCTTCAGAGTTTACTAACCAGAATTTCAATGCTTCCCCTGGAAATCTTCGTGGTGATGCCCAAGGCCTGGAAGAAGGAGGTCTTCTCAGGTCCGAGACCAGTGTTCTGGGCTGGCACAGTCACATCGCAAGGAGCAATAGCACCAGCACGAGCAGCTGCCGGCACCTGGAGGAAGAGGAAACAAGAAGCTGAACGGCGGTTCATGTCTCGCATCCCATGGGAGATACATTCTTCCCTGTAGTATTCCTCCAAGATGGACAGCAAGCAGACACACAGAAGTTTAACAGAGGAGGAACCTGAGGAGTTGAGCTAAGGCTGCAGGGGCCATGTCCCAAACTTTGAGGACTCATAATCATCAAGTATCCCCCAAAATGGGTAGTTTTTTTCTTTCACTTGGCGTATCGTAGCCCAGAAGCACAGCATTAACCAATCTCTGTTACCTTATTGGCCAGCAGCATATCCCTGATCTCAGTCAGATCCTCCTTGGTGAAGACAAAGCCCACATTCCCACGGATGTGAGGCAGCAGCCTGAAGGAAAGACAACATCCTTCAGTCCCACTCCTCCAACAATGTCTCCTTCCAATAGGAGACCTCAGAAGCGTTCGGACATTACTCACTTTTCTAAGGCCGGGTTATTCTCCAGATGACCACGAATCGCTTTGCGCATCATGGTGTTCTTCCCCATCAGCACAACAGCTTTCCCACGCAGGGACATACGGATTTGCTGCATCTGCTTGGACCCTACGTTGTCTGCTCCCACGATGAAACATTTTGGATAATCATCCAGCAGTTGCTACAGAAAGACAAACATGGTGACTGCGCCAAGAAACCCAATACACAGAGCAGCTTTAAAACCTCAATGTGAACCTTAACAGAGTGCCCGAAATTTGAGCGTTCAGCCCCAAAAGATGCTGTATTGTAGCTACAAGGCCCAACTTAGCAACCCGAACAGCTCCCTAGGCAAATCACCAGTTTGCCCAAATCAGCAAGTTTTCTCCAAAGCCTGAAAACTGCCTGATCGAGACTTCCCAGATCTCTCCACGTGACCGGAAACCACTCCTTAAGCAGGTAAGATATAGCACCTACTATCTTTAAGAACCCCCCGCACATGCAGGCCAGCCCCATCCTCGCGAACCTCGCGAGGCCGCCTCGACACTCACGATTATTTTCATGAAATAGTTGGACTTCCACGTAGCCCTGTCTTCCCTGGGCATCGCGGCGGTGCTCCAAGGATTGCCCGGCGGGTTTAAAGACGAGATGGGACCTGTCGGGGAGAAATGCGGCTTAGAGGGCCCCCCA